TATTCTTACCGGCGTATCAACTGGATGACAACCAGTAAGGAGCAGCATCTCAAATCCCTAGCCTGCTTCTGACTACCCAACCTTGTGAAGGGCTGGCATGGTGGACTCATGGTCCATAGATCAGCTCCATATGCAATACATTCTTCTTCAGATAAACTCTTCAAATGTTGTTCAAGACACACTTACTTCAATTGTCCGATTTAAAGCGTCTGAACAGTCATATACACTATTATATACTGAATTGGCCAGATCATTTACATCAAAGGCTTTGATTATTTTGAATGACAGGCCAGATACTAAGGAAATAAAAGCGCATTAACTCACGTTCAAGAGCAGCGCGCATACCCCCAATCCCCGAGTACAATTCTAAAACTCGCATCGCACAGACCTGCAATGGGAGCACAAAGAACACATGGCTAAATACGAGAAGCATCATTACGATTTAATTGAAAATGTATTACGCAGTAATTGCAACAAAGTACAATTGAAAACAGTAATTTTTTTATTTTTTTTGCCTTGCCTTAGTTTATAATTAAAAAAGGCTACATAGAACAAAATCAAAATTATATGACATTTGTTGCAAATTGTACTAGCAAAAGGAAGCTAATAACAACACTAAGTTAGATTGCTTTGTTCTTTGGAGCCACTTGATTAGGGGGCAACTTTATTAAAGTGAGTCTGTTTGCCGCATTTTACGTTTGAGGTCGAGATCTGTGGTTGGTGAACTTGTACTTATGATGACGTCCAGATATGACAGATTGGTCGACCTCTGGAAAGTATTAAAGCCTCTTTTTGAGAAAATGCTCAACATGGATGGCTTGTCGAAGACAGAACATGCATCTATTTGTAATTACGTGTATGGCTACTGCATCAGTGTTGATACCAGCAGTGGTGTTGGTGAAAACAGCAAAGTCATTGGCTATGAGTTGTATAAAAAGCTCAGATGCTTCTTCAAGCAGCATGTACAGTCTCTTAGACTGGTTTGTTTTTTATTATTCTTACCGTTGCTCTAGAAAGCTGAGCGCCTGGCCGGTTCAGATCTGCTTAATTTTTTTGAAAAACGGTGGACTAACTACTCACTTGCTGCTAAATACATAGATCACCGATGTAATTATCTCAATCGCAACTGGGTGAAGACCAAGGTTGAAGAGGGTCAAAAGGATGTTGTAATTGTATATTCTGTAAGTCTTTGATTACAGCAAAAATCTCAAACCTTCAATTATTTTTTGCGAAACACTAGTTTGTTATCATCTTTACCATTACAATGTAAATTTGGAACTGATTCTTCATGTGCATACGAATACCTTTCCACCAATCCATATTTTAGCTTGCCTTAATGCTTTGGAAGGATGAGCTGTTCAAGCCATGTAGCAGAGCTCTCATGTCTGCCGTTCTTAGTGATATCGAGGCAGAGCGTAGAGGTGAGAGCATAGCGACCACCAGGTTGTGTACCATCATTAGCAGTCTTGTCGACCTCTGCATTACTTCTGAACAGAGCCCACATTATTCCACTCTTCCATTCATCACTGAATCGCAGGTATCCTCCCTATTTCATACCCTAAAAGTTTAAGTAGGTTATCACTGATTATAAATGTTGCAGTTAAGTACCCTCTCTATCTGGTTATTTTCTATTTAGTTTCTTTCATTAACTACAGCATCATCATAATTGTAGTGATTCGTCTTGCACATTATAAGATTTTTACCTCCTGTTGATGGAGCATTATTTTCACTATAGGTGCAAAGTGGCGTAACCGCGGCCGCGCCATATCTGTCAGGCGATCCTCACTCACCTTTAGACTGGAGGCAAGGACTCCCAATTTATCGAGACCACTTTGAACAACCGTTTCTCCACGAAACAATTCATTTCTATGAGGTTGAAAGCAATCAGTTTCTAAAATCCCACCCTGTTACAGAATATTTGATATGGGTGAGTGAACTGTTGCGCTATTCTGTTTTTCTATCGGGTTTTTTGATGACTTATGGTTCTTTAAGGTCGAAGCACGGTTGGAGGAGGAACGAACAAGGGCCCAAACATACCTCCATTCAAGCACGCTAAGCGAATTGATAAAGACGGTTGAAGAAAGTCTAATTGGGGCTCATATTGAAACACTTGCAGCTGAGTTCCAAGGCCTCCTGAAAGCTAATAGAATTGATGGTACATTGTCTTAGGGATCTAATTTAGCAAAGATTTGTCCATTCACCTATGCTAATATTCTCTTCGTTTGATGAAAGATTTGGCGCGGATGTACAAAGCCTTGATTCGCTTTGAAGAGGGTGAGGCTCGGCTGGTTCAAACAATGGAAATGTTTGTCGACGAGGTTGGAAGTGCGGCATTGAAAGATGTCTGCCAAGTTGCTAAATCAGTAGGTTTTTTTACTAACCTAATGTGCATTTCAGTTTGGATAGCTCACTTTTATACCTGTTTTTTCCTCAAGAACCCCAAAGTTTTCGTCGATACTATAATAAAGGTTCAGCGCAAAAATCAAGAACTTTTGGAATCAGCTTTTTCTGGCAATCCCTCATTTGGACGGGCTATTGACAAAGGTTGTGAGCGATACATAAACAGAAATGCAATTACGGAAGCTGCTGGGAGCTCACGCAAAACGCCTGAGCTTCTGGCAAAGTATAGTGATTTTCTTCTTAAAAAGAGGTAAGTCCTTTTCCTCTTCCATGCGTTGCCCGCTTTCCTCCCACCTAATGGGTGTCCAAAGGGGACACTGCCTACCGGATGTTTCCGATTTATCGTTACAGTTACATAATCATGGTGTGCGCCTTTCACTAAGGTCTTTAAACTCTGGTCTCCTTTTTGGTACCTCATTTTGGGTCTTGCGTACTATTATTACTCCTTATCGCCCCTTTATTATTGGATGGCTGGGACTGGGGAGCCCATTTGCTGGAACATCAAGGAAAAAAACGTGGCTTTAGTCTATTGGTGTGAATCTGTTTTCATACTTTTTAGCACGAAGGAATCTCAACCAGATGATTTGGAGCGAACGCTTAACTGTGTGGTGGGTGTTTGATCGGAATTTTTGCTCTTAATTAATGTTAAGTTTTGTTGTCAATGTGTCGACTCTTGCTCGAAAATTGTCATGTCGCTGTAGTGAATAAAGGCAAAACTCCTCGTACCCCCTCCGCAGTTTGAGCACACATCTTTGCCTTTATTACGGGGACGTTCATCACTTCCACTTTTATTCTTCATTTTTTTTTGTACTTAAGCAAATTTCGATGAGAACCGATCTCACCTATGGTAATTGCTTTCTTGGTATCCTCTTACCATTAATTAAAAAAATTATAGCCACACCTAAACTAAAATTATCGTTTATCTTCTTTGTTGTAAATTTCTACCAAGGGAGGAATGATGTTGCATGTATGCGTTAAGGTTCCAGGTTCATCATGATTTGTGTAGGCTACGAATTGTGTTATCCTTCGAAGGGCATCACGAATACAGTTGAGTTAAGTTTTCTGTTCCCACTGCGCGGTGCAAAGAATCACTTGATACTATTTGTATTAAGGTTTAATCATAACTCTCTTTCCTTTTTGCCGCCTAGATGGATGTTTTCAAGTATGTGGAGGACAAAGATGTGTTTCAGAAGTTCTACTCTACCATGCTTGCTCGTCGTCTTGTGAATAATCAGTCGATCTCGGAAGATGCGGAGGCCCAAATGATCTCTCTTCTAAAAAATGCCTGTGGTGTAGAATATACCTCCAAGTTACAGCGAATGTTTCAGGATGTGAGCTCGAGCCGGGAACTCAATTCTCGTTTGATGGAGTGGATCGGTGAACAGACACCCCTTCTGTGTAATGGTATGTTTCTCAACTAAAGCATCCTTATTGAATGTCTGCCTTCCTGCTAGTATATCCGTTATTTTGGTAATTTCCAGTTGACTTCAATATCATGGTGCTTAGCTCAAATGCTTGGCCGTTCCAACCACTGGGCACAATAAACGTTCCTGCAGAGGTAAATAGCCGTCTCAGGCTCCGTCTGCATTTCTGACCGTGAATCAATCTTTATCATCGTTTTTGTCATCTCTTTAGTTGGAAAGCTGCTTCAAAGTGTTCACAGAGTTTTATCAGACTCGTCATGATGGACGCAAACTGACGTGGTGTTATCAGCTCTGCCGTGGTGAGGTTGTGGCTCACTATACCAAAATGCGATACACGTTTCAGGTGAGTGAATCCACATTTTCCTCTTCCAAATGCCTTTCTTTATTGTCACCTCTTCACTTTCTCCTTTCACCTTAGTTCATTGTTTTCCGGGCAATTGTTTGTCGGGGTCTCCTTACCACCTTGAGAATCAACATTGATCTGCGCCTTGTTTCAGGTATCAACGTATCAAATGGCAATACTTATGCTTTTCAACTCCTCGTTGTCCTATACTGTCAGCCAGATACAATCGCTGACAAACATTGAATCCAGTATGTTAAATCAAATCCTCCAAATCTTCCTCAAGGCACGTATTTTAAAAATCACCTCAAGTGATGACACGGATGAGCAACAGCGGCACCAAATGGACGAAGATATTGGCTCCGCACCTTCCACCTCCACTTTCCCCATTACTCCAGAGTCACAGCTCACCCTTTTTATGGATTACAACAAGCAAGTGTTAATTATTATTGTTTTTGGGATTTAAGCAATGTGTTAAGAACATCTATCCTTACCAGCTGTAGTGACGGTAATAACACTTTTCCAGTCCATCATGCTGCGCTCTTTTTGAAGCAGACTCCTTTGTCACTGTTCTTCGTGTTACGTGCTTGTAGCACCGCATTTCTCATCTGAACTCATAAGTGTACCGTAAATCGCGGAGGTGCGAGGCGCCTTCCCTTGTATAGCTAGAGGATAAAACGAATGTAAAAGTCGGAATCCGAGTTCGTTGCAAGTTCGATAAAATATTCAAGTAGTCGTGACGTGTTACTCCGGTGTAATCCGGCTCCCAGACGTGTCAAAAGCTGTTCTCTGTCCCTTACTCTCGTTTGGGACCCTCTTTTGTTGTAATATCGCGTCATGGGAGCGTAAGTTCATTGTGACTTCCCACACCCCCACGCGAGGACCTACTCACACCCAATTATTCCTTTTTAAGTAAACGCGTTCGTGTAAATCTCAATCTGCCACTGAAAAGTGAAACGAAACAGGAAACAGAAACAACTCTTCACAATGTTGAATGTGATCGCAAATTGGGTATTCAGGTAAGCGCAATTATTTTTCTAGTGGATTCGATGGTTCTCTTGCAGTCGAGTTCAGGTTTGCTGTCTACTAGCCAGGCCTAAAGGCCCGAGGAATTGTTTGCCAGCCCTGCTTTCATATTGCCATTTTCTGTTAAAAACAAATTTAATCACGGTGTTCGAAGCGCACTTTCCGGATGTGACCGTATTTTTGTACTTTTTAGGCATGTGTTGTGCGGATAATGAAGATGCGAAAGAGGATGGAACATCAGCAGCTAGTGAAGGAAGTTATTGAACAAATGTCTTCCCGTTTTTGTCCTGCTATACAGCAAATCAAAGTACGTTTATATTTGTCAATTAGTTGTTTCACTTTTTGTACTTTTATATCGCGGCTATCGGCTATGTACTTGTGCCTTTCATTGGGTTCTTTTTAGTTATGCATTAACTCCCTGATTGAGCGTGACTTCATCAGGCGAGATCCGAGCAATCTCTCAGCTTATGAATATGTGGCCTAGGACATGCAACAACCTCCGATCACGCACACTTACCCGCCACCCACCCATTTGTTCCATGCCTCTCAACGAACAGAAGTCTCTGGTTTATTATTCCGGCCTCTACATCTCATCAGTACCCACTTTTGACGTCTGCATATTTTCAGCTTATGTTGCAGTTTTATTTTTTTGTTTTTGTTCTCAACTCCACTTTGTGGGTATATATTCTTTGTGTGATGGAGAAGGGGGTGGTGGGAATGGAGTGTGTAGGTGCATCGAGGGCTCTGTGCTGGGGTTCAGTTTGTTAAGGTTTCGACTGGTAATATTGCTAAAATCCCTCCGTTATGGCGAGTGGAGGTGTCCTGCGCGCGTTAACAGTAGTGAATAGTGGTCAAGGCATTACCGGAAATCGATTGCTGAGGAAAGTTCAAAAATGGCCGTTGGGGGAGGCGTCGGTTAAGGGAGGCTTCGATTAAGGGAGGCTTCTCGTAATGTCACGTCACAACAACTTAGGAAGTATCGTTTATTGTACTTGCTAGAGATGGGCTTGTAGTGCTTTGTTTATGTGACTAACAGACGTTTAACCGTCACTTTAGGATTTGCTTGGCCCCTGTACAAGTGGGCTAGCTTTTGGGCCACGCTCAGGCTCCGTTTGCCCTGTCGTCTCCGTAATACATGTATTCAAGCTCACTTATGCCTTCTCCCACCCTATGGGAAGCCTCGGGGTGCTACACTAGTGGCAGTGAAAAGCGAACTCGACGTTTTTTTGACGACTTTTAGGTATAAAGGGTTTTTGAGGATCTTATGCTCCAGCCGAGGTGAGGTTCCTTCGTGGCTTGTTCTTCGTTGGTCGTTTGTTAAAAGCGACATAGTGTCCGTGACAATCTAATGCCCAAAAGAAACCGCTGCCCTACTGACATCCTACATTTGTGTTGCTCAACTTTGCCAATTAATCGAATGAATTCCGGAGAAGAACAGTAGGAACAAGCCGACAAGCAATGGTTCAGTCGGATGATGCAGAACTTAAGTACCTGCAAATCACACAGGATCTGGAGATGTATGTCGCTTGTTCTTGGTGTTGATGATCTGGGTTTGAGAATCTATGAGCCTGATAATCCGTTGGACCCCAAAATCGGGTCCCCTTGGCTGGAAGGTCGAAACTTCTATTTTGACGACAAGGAGTTTTTAATCCAACTAGCAGACAAGACTGCAAAGATTTCTACTTATTAGAGGACAAATCCAAGCTTGATAAGCGTATTTTGGCGTTGTGCACCGATAGTCATGAGCTATGCTTGCTTAGAAAGAAGTCTGAGTCAATTGAAGTGCAATAGATGAAGATACAGGCAAAAGGGGATGTGAATTAAAGGGGGCACATTTACCTTGGTGACGAATAATCCCTAAATCGTTCACAACGAAGGGATTTAGGCTGACGTTTGCATTCGGTTTCACCGTATTCCTGCGTTCCACGGACAAGCTATTAACAACTGAAGCGACACCGCCACGAATTATCTGGAACAGTTTCGTGTCGGAATTTCCCTTACAAAATCCGCGATTAGGTGTCAAAAATGGAACTACGTTCTCCTTACATACGGGACAGTGGTTCATCCCGTTTCCCCTTTAACATATATGTTTTATAC